CAAGTTAGAATTGAGTTCACTGACCAACTGTAAAGCCAGTGTAGTCACAACCGACAAAGGATGGGCCAGGAGGAGGGTAAAAGCTTTCCTGCTGTAACTGTAGTTGACATTAGCTGTGATTAGTGAGGTGATCAATTTTAGATGTTCCATAAATACCCTCTCTGGCCATTTCATGGGTCCACAGACCACACACAGGACCCAGTGCCTTAGAGGAAGAACAGGAAGTACTCTGGGAGAATGGAAGATTTTATTAAACAACAAATTTCCCAGGTTAGGGTCTTGTCTGACTATATGTGGAAGGACAAACCTGGAGGATGTTTGCTTTTTGAGACATTCTATTTCTACTCACCCAGTAGGGTAACTGCTAATGTATTGAAGCCCAACTGGGTGGTCCTAGAGGGACTCTGGTTGGTAATTAGGAGCACCTGAGGTAGTTTACAGGTTCTTTCCAGAATTCTCATGTTCTGCTCTTGGGAGCTGTAAGGAGGACCACAAGCCATGTCATGGTGAATGTAGGAGCGAAAGTCCCCAGACCAAGAAGAGCAGGTTGGCTGAGCTGTCAGAGCTGCTTGGACAGGGATGAGCCATGAGCCAGACAGGTTCTATTGTTCTTCGTGGTGTTTTGGGTAATGGCGCATGGCCTCTGATCTTTGTTGAGAGTGAAGGAGACTATGAGATTGTAATATTGTTGCGTCACACTATGTAATTGAGAATTGCTTTGAAAACCTAATCCTGTCTCTGCTGCCTAGTGCTGTGTAGAGACTCCTTCAACTTTTTCAGGACTGGGCTTTTCTGGTCAGTGAGAAGGAAAAATAAACCATGTGATGAGTGACCTCCAGTCTCTATGACTTTCAGTGTATGATTATAGATGAAGAGGGTGAGTACATAGATCAAGCTTGAAGCTGGTAGATTCACAATGCAGAAAGGGAGAGAAAGGACAGTGGCTGAGAACTTTCCTACATCAACAGTAGTTGAGATTAGCATTGCAGAAACAGGTAATCAATTTTAGGTGCTCCACAAATGTCCTGATGGTCATTTTTTGATGTCCACAGACCGAGCAATAAAGAATCTGCATAAAGAACCGAACTTATCATTAAAACAAATTGCTATAGTTACAGTAGTTCAACCAAAATAGATCTGAGTAAAATGTGGCCTTGCCTAACAGGACTGTTTTTTTTACTGGTTTTAAATATACACCCTGAGATAAAAGGTTTGAGAAATCTTTGATGTGCTCTAATATAAATCCCTTGTTTCTGAAGCACTTGGCCATATATCCTGTTTCAACTTTTCAAAATTATTTTTTGAGATTATAACTATATCATATCCATATTCTCTTTCCTGTCCTCAAGCCTTATCATGACCCACTAATATCTTCTAATTCATGCCCTGGTTTTCTTTAACAACAGTTGTAATTGTGACTTGTGTTTGGCTGCAGGATTTCCCAGGTATGAGGCATTAGGTTTGCTCCATTGCACATTGAGTGTGTAATGGAATGTGCATACAGAGGACCATGTACTTTGGATGAGGAACAGGGTATGCTCTAGGAAATTGGATGAATGTGTACAAAAATACAAACTTTCTGGACTAAGACCCTGTCTGTTGGGCTGGGAAGGCAGAGCATGAAGTACTGTGCTGTTTGAGTCATTTGATTTCTGATCACTTTTCAGGGGAGCTGATAATATTCTGAGGCCCATCATGGTGGCCTTAGCCAGAGAGGGACTCTGGAAAATCTTAGCAAGAAGAAATAAAAGTGGCAGGTAGCTGGCAGGTTCTTTCCAGATTTCTTCTCTACTTTTGTTGTAATGAGTTGTAAGGAAGACCACAAGCTATGCCATAGTGAGTGTAGGGTGTGCAGAAAAGGTCTGTTGATCAGTCATTTCTGCTTGGATTTGGATGGACCATGTGCCAGACTATGGTTCTGTTGCTCTTTATAATGACCTTGACAGTGCTCCTTGTACTCTGAGCCTCCCTGTGTATGGATTTCCTGGGGAGAGGGAGACTCTGCATCCCTGGCATGGTAGGCCATTATGCTTGTAATCTCACTATCTCATGTACACACAGAATCATGCTTTTGGTGTGCAGTGGGAAGACAGTTTTGAAAACTGATAATCTGGTTTCTAGAAGTTCTGAATATTGCAGTCTACTTTCAAGTTTGTCTTATATATGTTTCAAGTAGTTTAAAAGCTGGTAGAACTACAGTGATATTGATTTAGCAATGCATGATTTAAATGTTTCTAAGTTTCTGCTACCACCAGCTGCAATGGTGTGATTCATTGATGTTTAGTTCCAGGAAGCACTTCCCTAAAGAAGCTGTGCATCCTTTGTTACTAAGGCTGGGTTAGGAGACCTCTCTTATAGGAGGTGTGGCACCCTTGCTTGCTGCCAGTTAACAAAACCCATCTGGAAAAATATGTGGCTACCAAGAAATCTTGCTTAACCCTATTCTTTTGTATCTAGATTTTTAAAAAACTCTCAGATTTTATGTTGATGTAGTTGCCTCATTTTGTCACCATTTTGTTTACAGAGGCTGTTAGTTTGTTACCTGACTGCCCAGACATAATGACACAGAAACTACATTGATTACAAGATTACAACACTGCTTGCCCATAGCTTTGGCTTTTATTAATTAACACATCTGAAATTAACCTATTTCTATTAATCTATGTATCACTACATGGCAGTGACCTACCATTAAGGTACAGCATCAGTCTCCTTCAGTGGCTACATGTCCTCTGCCTGACTCACAGCCTTGTCTTGTTGTGGCCTTCCTAGCCCAAGTCTGGCTTCATTCCCTGTGTCACCATCAGGTAATCTTAGCTTGGTAAACAAGCACAGGTGCTTAGAAGACTTCATGAAAAAATTATCTAGAGATCATTTGTGCGATATTTATGTCCAAATCTTTCTTATTCTTTCCTTGGCCTGAAAAAGTGCATAGCAGAATTACAAAGGAATAAACTGATTTCCTGTACAAAATACTGCTTCAATTGGATGGTTGTTACTGATAACTCATTCTGGTCTACAGTGAAAAAAACAAGAAGAAAGAGATGACAAGTGTAGCTGCAAGTTTTCCTCCCATCTGCCAGCTTCCAAATAACCATTCAGAGACTTATATTAGTTAGAAATATTTGGCCAATGATTCAGACTATTACTAGCTAACTCTTACAATTAAATTAACCAATATTTTGTATATATCTGCTTTGCTACCTGATTCATGACTTGTTACCTCCCATCTTGTTCCTCCTTCAGCTCTTGGAGTCTCCTTGACTTCACCTGCTTTCTCTCTGTATCTGTTTGGATATCCTAGCTAGCTATATTCTGCCCTGTCATAGGCTAAAACAGTTTTATTCATCAACCAATAAAAGCAACACATATTTGCAGCATTCAGAGGGACGTGGCACATCAGAAAAGTGTGTTTTGATAAAAACAACAGTACTAGGTAGTTTCAGATGGCAGTCCAATGGTTAAAAGGATGCAGAGTTAGTTTGTCAAGGATTTTAGCACCATTTAAGGGAAGAGCCTGGCTGTACATTTGAAGCCTGGGAACATGATCCAAGTGAAAGAATGCATCTAACTAAACCCTTAACTCTTTGAAGGAGTACACAAAGTAATGCCTTGTCCCAGGAGCAACATCATATAGAACTTGAGCAAATTTGGTCCAAGCTTGGTAGGGTCCATCAAATCTTGGCAGGATTACATTTGTCATACTTATTCAGAAAACAAGAATGATGCAAAATATAAAGGTCATGGATTCTTCTTTTGTGATCAGGTCATCACTATTTTGCCCATCTATGTTTGGCAGAGTCAGAGCCCCAGTAAATAAGAGATTGTGAGAGTTCATAGTGACCGGCTTAGAATGTAATTGTATGAATGAAAAACCTCCCAGATATGAAGATGTATTTTAACATGTGCCTCTTCTTGGTAAGTGTCATTTGATTGCTTCTGAAACCATTAGTAGGGGGAGCCTTTGTGGATGAAATTTCTCATTGGGATGTAAAATAATATAGTAAGTAGGGATGCTTGTTTGTTCCCAGATGCTCAGCCCCAAAATAATCACACAGAAACTGTATTAATTAAATCACGTCTTGTCCCATTAGCTCTAGCTTCTTATAGGCTAACTCTTATGTTTTAATTTAATTTAATTTAATCCAATTGTATTAATCTGTATATCACTACGTGACTGTGGCTTACTGGGTAAAGTTCCCAGCATCTGTCTCTGGTGGGTCTACATAACTTCTCTCTGACTCCACCTTCTTCCTCCCAGCATTCAGTTTAGTTTTTTTCCGCCTACCTAAGTTCAGTCCTATAGCTCTGCTATAGCCCCAAAGCAGTTTTTTATTAAATAATGATAATCACAACATATAGAGGGGAGTCCCATATCACTTTCCCTTTTTTTTCTTTGTTTAAATGGAAAGGAAGGTTTTAGTTTTAACATAGTAAAATTACAAATTACAAAACAGGTATCATGCAAGAATTACAGTTACAATATTTATAGCTACTTTATCTTTTAATCATAACTAAAGAAAACTATAAGTATAAATTCTTCAAATCCATCAAAGACCCCAGAAGGATATACTGTTACCTAAGTAAACAGGAAGTATATTGTAAGCACCTTCCAAAACTCTAGAAATGACAGAGACATCTCATTGCCCAGACAGTCACCCAAAGCTCTTCTGTGTTGTTGGGGCATCCAGTCCTCAGCCCACAGACCCATAGTATCTGGCAGACTTTTCCATGAAGCAGGAAATTTGAAGACCTGTTCTGCCTTGCAATAGAAAAGTCCATCAGTTGCTGTCTTCTGTGTCCTGTAGAATGTCTGGCAGACTCTATCATGAATCAGGAACCCTGAAGATTCATGTCACCTTTAGGCAAGCTCATCAGTTATTTCTCTGTGGGTCCTGCATGTCCAGTTCATCAAGCAGTCCCAGCAAGAGCAGTTTCTTGCCAAAATGCCTAACAAACTCCATAAGGAGCCTCTTTAATGTCCATCATCCTCTTAAAGTAGACTGGTGCCACCAAGAGCAGATGTATTTCATTGTCATGAAAAGTCTTAATGTCTTAAAACATTTTAAGTGCCATATTCTGAAAGTCTCTGAAAGATTTGAAGAATCCCTATTAGAAATACATCTCTGTACATCTAGAAAACCTAACTAACATTAGTACAAACTTGAGTATTACTATCATAGATGACTCTCTACCTCTATTTTAATTATACATTTCATGTTTAAATGAGCTGCACAAATACAATAACTTTATCAAGAGCAGAAATACATATAATGCAATTGACCTAAAATTTGTATCAATAAACCAAGATCCATACCAATACGAATCTCTATAGCATATCCCCCTTTTAAATGTAAAGAAACATTTATGAATTGTATTTGGGAATATGGGTATAGTTCTCTCCAAACTGCTTCCTGCTTTTAATTTTGTGAAGTAATTTTTGAGACATTCACAGTAATTTTTTGGGGTGGTCTTGATTCATCAAGCCACATTATTCTGGACGGATTCTACCAGTTCTATCCTCTGTGGAAACAAAAGAAGAACCTCTTTTCTAAAGCAACAAATTCTTAGACCCAAATTCTGAAGACATGATACTTTTAAAGCAAATATGTTTGTTACTTAGCTCATTTACAGTCAAAAAATTCAAAGAAAAGCACAATACTATATGTAATCCAGACCCTCTGTATATAGTCCATCTTTACGTGTCTTATTTTTATTCTATTACTTTCTACTATTTGTTTTATTATCTTTACTTCTTTAATTTATGACAGTCTGTACTGTCTTTTTAAAGTCTTCATTTGATTTTTTTATAAACCATTTACTTCTTTATAACTCTCTGTATTCTTTTTTTCTCTTTCTCCCAGGCCTATGTACATTTTTTAAATACACTGTGTCTCATTTAGAGGTCTTTTATGTATGAATCTGTACTATTGTGTATCTGTAATTCTTTCCTGTTCCGGAGCGCTTCTTAAAATGCTAAGCACTTCTTGTGAACTTCAGCTGTGCCTGCTTGCTCAGCACAGTCCAACATGGCAGAGGCACATTTGCTGCCTCTGAGAGCCATGTACATTGCCCCATTGTCAGGCATACAAGGGGTCTAAGTTGCCATTATCAATCTTCTCACAGACCCCATGGCCGGTCTTCCAGATGGAGTCAGAGTTGGTGCTGACAGCACAGCCCAGAAAGTCGGCATTTCAAAATGGTGGAGCTTTTTTATGCTATTGTTGTATGATGGTTTTGTTTTTATCAAGCTTATGCTGTTGTAGTGAACTTCACCCATATCTTAAATTTTAAATTTTACAGAGGGTCTCATTATTTTTCCCAGGATGTCATGTACTCATGACACTAATATTGCCCGTGTCTTTTGAGTCATTGGTATGCAGGTGTATAACCTTCTTTCTGCCTGTTTTGTTTGTTTTGAATTTTTATTTTAAAAAGAGTATTTAACCTCTATGCATGGATATGCACCATGTGAGTACCTGCTCCTTTATCATGTGGAAGCTATTTAACATGTATTTCTGGCTGCCATTAAAGTGATTCTGTGGACTAGGCTCATATTCAACTCAGAGGCAGATAGACATACGTGCCTCTGTCTTCTGAGTCCTTGGATTAGAGGACTCAGTGCATCCAGCTTTTTCATCTTATTTTTCTTTTTTGTAGTTAGAAATTAACCATTTGTACAATCTCTCTTATCTGTACTCTGTACTGTTGATCTGTTTATATATCTTTCATTGTTGGTTAGTATGCATTTCTCTTGCAAGGTGATATCCTATTCAAAGGGTTCAGAAATGACAATGGTGAACTTCATATTCAGTTTGCTTCTAACATGACTTGGTGATTAGATTATGATGTCTATGTCATGGAATAAGTATGGGGAGCACCAGAATTCTATGACTATACTGTCAAAGAAGTATACATTTACAGTGTTGTCAAAATCATACTTTCTGTTGTACACATGTATGGGATTTTAGAATGCAGTGACCTATGATGACGTGCATGTTGACTTTACTTGGGAAGAATGGACTTTGCTGAATCCTTCCCAGAAGAGTCTCTACAAAGAAGTGATGGTGGAGACCTACAGAAACCTCACTGCTATAGGTAAGACTGAATTATCTTTTATGTTTCAAATAAGGGGACAACTGTTCATTGGTTAATAATGCTCTTTTGTAATATGATTGAGAAAGAAGAATGGGTAAAGAAATTAGACATGTTTTTAAGTTTTGCTTCAAATGGTAACTAAATGTTTTACAATTTTTAATATATAACATACATTTTTCTGGCACTGTATTTTAGGATATAATTGGGAAGACCATAATATTGAAGAACATTGTCAAAGTTCTAGAAGACATGAAAGGTAATTTCCATGTATAAGCTGATACAGATGTACCCCTGAAGAATTTGTAATGTATCCTATATGTTTTAAACCAGAACAACAATGTACATAATAAAGTTCATTGGTGCTTATTAAATTATCACAAAATCATATACCAAAATTTCAGATTAGTGAATTGCATTTGAAAGTCATTCTTTTAAGAAAGAAGTCAAGGAAACAATGCCTTAACCTATATTTCCATTTGATTTATAATACA